CTAGAAAAGACCAAATATGACTGGATTTATTTTTGGAGAGTTACTTTAGGTCGAAAAATCTGTTAAAACCTCATATTCAAGAGATGGTTGCTGAAATGTAATATACAGGAAGATATGAAGAGACAGTGAGGAATAAGCGGATTTGAGCAATCGTAAAGAAAATTGAGGGGAACAAATACGAGAAAAGTCTTTGTTAAGTAACTCATTCATGTACAGAAATTGCTTGATTCTGAATATTGAGTTAGAGTCAGATGAAAGCCGGTGCAGCAGAACGCCGGCTGTCCAAATAGGATTAATGCTCTGAGCTTTGTGTAATGCATCACATCTTTAGAGGATGACGATTAGAGCGAGAGGAAGAAAGACATGCCAAGTCTTCGGAGGGTTTGATTCTCAACATCCAGTGTTCTCCTCAGTGTGGTCAAATGGAGGACAGATAATACATTCCATAAGCTTTTTGATCTGGCTTTGTTATGTGTCCGCTGAAAGTTACACAAGTGGGATCTGTGTTGGCATTGTTTCTCAAAGGATAGAATGAGGACTAGTTACAACCTTGGCAATACAATGGGGAAATCTGGATGCAGGAAGTGAAAGAAAGCACAGTCCTTTCCTCAAGGTCTCGCTGCCTTTGACCACATCTGGTAATATTTGTATCCAAAATGCCATACAGTTTATTTTTAGCTTCACCGCAATGGAAATTGAACCCCTAGCTCTTGCTTTATCCTACTGTGGCAACTCATGAAGTATATAGTTGGACAAAAATATATAAATAAATAGTTTGCCTACTTAAATATGCATCCAATTTCATTTTAAACAAAACATGTCTTGAATGATAATTAAATATCTCGTCATTCACTTGCAGCCAGTAATAGTTGTTTAATTAGCAAATTTGGCAAGAAAACAGCTTTCAAGCTTAAAACTCCATGCATCAATCGTCCATCTAGTGTTGGTGCACGTTATAGTAGGTAACTGTTGGGGATGTGTTGCTTAAAGGGGACCTATCATGCAAAATGCACTTTTGTACGTCTTTTATACATGAATATGTGTCCCCGGTGTTCCAGGGAACTCACCAAGTGTCAGAAAACACAACCCTCTCTATTTTCCTCCATACCCAAATCTCTAAAAAAGGGGCTGCAACGGATCTGATAAAAACTGATCCAGATTTGAACACTGTCCTGACGTCAGGACAGTGGCGCTACGGCTATTGGGCCAACTCCACCAATCAGGAGGAGACAGCCACGGCCATTGCCGTTCGAAAGCGCTGGAGACGCTGTAGTACATATGCCAGGCCAGTAGATGGTGCTGTTCTCACTGAATCAGCCCTTACAAAAACAGAGCTAAAAAATGTCAAATTGAGCAAAATGAGGCATGGCTAAAATGCATGATCTGTTTGGTATTTTGAAAAAAAATAAGTATAAATATGCCTTATATAGGTATGGTCCTACACTATATTATTCAAATATAGCATGATAGGTCCACTTTAATACTATAAATAACCAAATAAGCTCCCATGTACACTATTGTTTGTGCATGTATGGCATTTAACTACATTTGTATACTTTTGGAGCAGCTTTCAGGGTTCAGACTCTGCTTTTGTATCTGTTTTCAGTTTTTTATTCGACCCTGTATTAGTTTGGGATATTACATTACATGTCACTTGTTAGACGCTTTTATCCAAAGCGACTAACATACATTCGGTACTGTGGGCAATTCCCACAGGAGCAATTTGGGGCGAAGTGTCTTGCCCAGGGACACAACCACATGCTGACTGCAGTGGGACTCGAACTTGCTATCTCCTGATTCAAAGATCAGCGCTCTAACCCACTGCGCCACAGCCTCACAGATATGGGTGTTAAAGTAATAACAAGTAATGATTATAATACACAGCTAGACAACAGTAAAAGTAGGCTTTGATAACCAGAATGCCTAAGAGTTGTTCTCCTTTTTTTAAGTGCAAAAGTTTAAGAAAAGAGGTTTTGCTTATTATTTCTATAGCTGGAGTTCTGTATTATATCCTCATGGTGACACTGTAGCATAACACGAACGATGTACTGCCTGGCTGGAGAGTCTTTTACACTTTCTTGTGTTGATTAAATTGGCACCCGGCAATTTAACAGTTCCCTCCATTAAATTAGAAGAATTGAAAGGATTGTATTCTCTGAAGCACGTGTTGTCTGTAGTCTAAATGTGTTTTCATCTGTGTCTACTGTACGTGTTAATATTTGACATAATTGACTTAATCAAAACTGTTGCTGTCATCAAAGAAACAGACCTGTGTCACAAGGGAAAAAAAGCTCATTTGTGCCACTTTATTTTGCAGTTTGGGATTATATAGATCCTGTTTTAATCGTGATGTGACTCCCTTTTCTCCAGAGGAGGCTCTGCAGAGACAGGAGAGGATCTGGCAGCGGGAGGTGGAGGAGTCTCTCTCCTCCTGCAGGTCTCTCTCTCATCCCTTCAGACCCAAACACATCGACTTCCTGCGCATCACCGCCGCTGAAGACGACATCTTTGATTCACGCCCATCCTCGCCTCTCCCCCCGGAGCTCAGGGTGAGTAGCTTTAAAGACGTGATGTGTAACAGATGACCTTACTTTGTTGGTACTCTTTGTCTTATTTGAGTGAAAATAGTCTACTAATGGCTGTGTTATCTGCACTGCAAACAAAGTCAGCGATCATTGTCAAAAACTCAAATAAAGCTGCAGCAATCATGACATGAACCTACATGGTCTATGTCTATTCTATTATATGTCTGTTCTACATATTATATTCTACAGTGCCTAACAGTCTTTTAATTCAAGTTTTAGCAAACACCTCATACAGCAGTGTGTGTGTGTGTGTGTGTGTGTGTGTGTGTATGTGTGTGTGTGTGTGTGTGTGTGTGTGTGTGGTCTAGCATTACTATACTTGTGGGGACCTAAATCTGTTTACACAGTCACGTGTGGGGACTCGCCTCCCTTATGAGGACAAAATGGAGGTCCCCATGAGGGGAATCATTAATTTTAGGGTGAAGACTTGGTTAGGGTAAGGGTAAGGGTTAGGGTAAGGGTAAGGCATGTGTTGGTTATGGTTAAGGTTAGGATAAGTCTCCAGGAAATGCATGTAAGTCAATGTAATGTCCCCTGAAGTGATGTATACATCACTTCAGTGTGTGTGTGTGTGTGTGTGTGTGTGTGTGTGTGTGTGTGTGTGTGTGTGCGTGTGTGTGGTACGTAACAGAAGGGGTTTCATGTAACTCTGTAGGTGCATTGTATACAGTTTCTGTGTAAGCATGAAATGTTCGTTTACTGGGGTTTAAAGCTCTTAAGCTCCGCCTCTTTACTTCTGCACACGTGAGTGTGTGGTGCTGAAAGTTGAAAAATACATACATTATATTTTGACCATTTTGTGAGAAAAAGGTGATAATAATAAATCCAACGGGCAAAGTAACGACCATCTAAAACGAGTTAATAAATCGAAATAACATTACATAGATAATAATTAGGAAAAAAAATGACTTCCAACCAAAAAAAACATAAAACATAGAATATGTGTAAAAATGAGGAGTTTTAAAAAAACACAATAAAGACATGAAGATGAATTGAAAATATGAGTCTCTAATTTTTTCTCCAATTGTGAAAACTGATCACCATATATGATTTAAAATGCATTCAATTCAGAGAGAATATGTGTATATAATATGGACTTTATTCTTTAAATACAATAAACCCATGCTGAACTCTAACAAACTTTAAATTATTTAAAATTCAAAACTAGAGAAATTCCCAACCATAACAGAAAATATTTGGTAAACGTATATCTGTTATCCAGTAAAGACCATGTGTGTGTGTGTGTGTGTGTGTGCGTGCGTGCGTGCGTGCGTGCGTGCGTGCGTGTGTGTGTGTGTGACTAATGCTATTTCATGGGATTATCTGGATTCATTCCTATTACATAAACACAGCTCACATAAAGGCCGCTGTGTCCCTCTCTGGGGAATGCATAAAAACACTTCATACGTGTTTGTATGATTAGTTCTAGTTAAGACGGCACTGCAGGCTTCAGGCTGAGGCTCTGAGGACAATAGGAGTCAGAGAAAGTTACACAGAGAAGTGACATACTGGAAACATGTCAGTCAGCTACTGCTGGGTGTGATAATGTCATACTGTAAAAGCAAACATGGGAGGAACCTGGGAACTAAGAACAACCAAAACATGAACCAGTGGACGAGGAAGGTTCAATCTAAAATTCAATATTACAAATCTAAGGAAAAATGCACAGAAAATGCTTCATTTTTTTACACTTTATAAAATGAAAAGGTTCCTTCTTTGGTATTGCTCAGTATCACCTCCTTGACTGTTAATGTACTTGTTTATTCATATTCATATTTTTATATTAAGTGTTAACTTTTCATTCTTGATTGTAACACTAGTTGTTCACTTAAAAATAACAACGTACAAATAGCAACAAGTAAAATATACTTATATATACATTTTTAATATATATTTTCACTTTTAATAGAACATGTTTCCCTTATTTGAATAAATCTGTGTCACCATCAACTTATAATTTTTACATTTTGTATAAATATGTATGAAGAATTCTAGAAAACCTATGTTTGCATTGGTTTCTCTGAGCAGGTTCGATACACAAAAGCAAGTTTTCCAATAAAAAAAGTACACTACAAACATACAAATGTGAGCTAATATCAATGTAACTGAACCCAGCACTTTTATTGTATAACTTCCAATAATCTGAATAACCTCTCTGATTTAGCACAGTGCATGTTGGTTGTGATGTGAGCTGATTAGCAGAGTAGGTGGGGTTGGTCCTGCTAAAACGTCCAGATTAGCCGAGTGTTGCCTAATTCCTGCAGGGGGGCTGAACGTTCCTGTGGATTTACAAACACTATCGTTTAACAAGTGATCCCGGCTGGCTGTATTTACCCTCCTGCAGCTCTGGGTGTGGCGTCCCTCCATCTGTTCTGGGTGGCCTCCTTCGCCCTGTAGCTCACGGATCTGTCAGGGTGTTGTCACAAACAGTGGCTGAAATCACCATCTGCTTCCAATTACACTCTGACAATCTGTAGGACGGTCGCCAAAGAACCTGCTCTGTGAGGAACTATAGTTTTTAGAGGAGCCAGAGGGGGAAAGGAGGCAGAACCTGGAAACTAAAACCAGGACGTGGAGCTGACTTTTAATTGTGGTTGAGCTGAGTCATGGAGCTGGGGGTTTGGAAACTTTTCCGTTACTCTGTGGATTCCTCCCCGTTCATTCTGGAGTGACTAACTTCCAGTTTGGAAATGTAGTTCTCCGGTAAGACATGAAGGAGATGTTGCAGCAGTGAAAGGATACATCTATTTCTTTTCAACAAACTGGAGCAGGTCGGATTTTCAGAAGTGGTGATGTGACTTTTCAACATTTCTTGCATCTGTATTAATACTAAATGAAAGTTGCATGATCCTGGATGTTTTTATACAAACTATTGCATGGCTAACAAATGCATGACCACTCAAATCAGCCTCTTAAACTGCATTGTTCTGAAGTAAGATGTTGCACCTAAGTCTCAGATATTAGCTGTTGACATTGTGGAAAAGGCTTTTCAACAACTACTCCCTTCACTCTGGATTAGGTTTTCTTTGTGAGCTATTTATGAGCAATGGAGGAGCAAACAGCCATCCTAAAATTCTTCAGGATCCTTACAGAGGAGGAGGATGAGGATTTCATTCAAGGAGACACTGAGCTGAGTTTAGATATAAAGAAAAATGGCTTTGAGGAAGCTGTGGAGAACAGTAGAGAGTCCTTATCGCATGTTAAACTGCTTTATGATGAGGAGAACATGACCTGTAATACAGTGAGACATATATATAGAGGAGAAGCAGGAAATGACTCAGACATGGCAGAGGAGGAGAGGTGTAATGTCAACCTAACAGAGCAGCAAAGTGAGGCTGCCAACTCTGAAAATGTCTCAGAGAAACAGACCTTTGCAACAAATCAAGACGAGAACAAGATGCCATATGACAAAGTTAACGGCTACAGCAACGAGGGCTGTCACATATCGGAGAACTCGCTGGATGAATGTGCCTTGAAGGAATCTGTGCAACCAAAATATCAACATTCTTCAACTGACTGCACGGATACAGGCTGGGATTCTCATTCCAAGCAGGATGCCACTGAAGAAGTTAATAAGAAAGAAAGAAAAGATTATGAAAATGTTCACATCCAGGATGATTGTGTCCCAAATGCTTCCAGTTCGGATGTCGGTTCTGACCCTGAGGAATCTGAGAAAAGTAGATCTAAAAATATAGTGATTACAGTGACTCGGACAAGACCTGGCGTTGAGGAAGAACCGATATTAACACCAACATTTGAGCATGCTGATGGCTCATCTCATATCCAAAATAAAGAGGAGAGGACCGGATCAGATGAGGACAGCGAAGAAGAAGAAGAAGAGAAAAGAGATGAATTTCCAGACTTTTCCTCCCCTCTTTACCCTCCAGCCCCAAAAGACCCTCTTTCCATAACATCTGCGACCAATAACCCTCCACCTGGATCCACCTTCACCAGAGCCACCTTTAAACCGAGCTCCCCCACCGACAAACAGATCCAGCTCCCGGCCCTCTTCAGCGGGCTGAGGGTCCTGAGGAAGGGGGTCGTCGGGCCCGAGCACGACACCGTGGCCCAGATCAAAACCTCATCGCCAGCAAAGAGAGACATTTTCCCTGATAAACAATCGGACGGTAAATCCCAGGGGAGCTTCCTGGACCAGATCTCACAGCTGCTGAACCGGGAAACGAGCGAAGATGAGACGGAGGTGACCGAGGAGATCGAGGAGACCGAGGAGAGGACGGAAAAGGAGGCTGAAGCAGATGAGAGTGAGATGGAAAAAAGTCAAGAGGACGAGAGGGAAGAAGTTGAAACAGAGGAGGAAGCAGAGGTTTCATCTGAGTCCACCAAGCCTCCTGCGTCCAGTGCAGAGGCGGCATTCGATGCCTTCAAAGCCTTTTTCACCCCAAGGCCTCTGAAGAGGGACCCGGCTGAGAAGATAGACCTGGACGCAGTGAGGAAGAAGATCAGAGCAGATACAGATGTGCTGAAGGCGATTTTTGAGAGATCCTCCAATAAGACGCAAGAGAAGAAAGACTCTCCTGATGGCAAAGTAGGAATTGTGTATGAATCAATTTGTTATAGATTATGTTATAAATCGAATGTCAAACTCTTTTTTCATTTTAGTCAGAAGCGTCCACCCCAGGAGATGGAGAGGAGAGAACGCCAGGTCGCCTTCAAGCTGTCTGGCCACCACTGAAGGAGGAAAAAGTTGGGCTGAAATACACAGAAGCAGGTACAAAACTATAAAATCCACACAGATTAATTATGTTAAACAATAATATGAATTTCATGCAGTGAATTTGACAGCAGTGGAGGGAGTCGCCGTGTTTACTCTGTGATATCAGGTGGTGGATGTAATATCAAGCTCGGCTGCTTTGGTAAACACAGCTCCACCCTGAGTGTGTCCACAGCAAACATCCACCACCTTCAGTTGTGAAGGAATTGACATGACTACTGTACACACTGTGGTGCCTTTAAGCAGCTTTGTGTACATTTAAAAAATATATTCCAGTACAACATTACCACTCTCAATACTAACATATATACTGGAATGAACTCCTCTATGGCCATTTGAACAAAAACTGGAGAAAAGTCAAACAAACTTGATGGCTGAGCTGCTGGATTGTAAGATTATACATGTATATCTAATAAGGTGGCCCATCAATATTAACACCAGAATGAAAGATGCAATAATGACATAGAAACACGTTTGATTGCATGAAACCATGTGGTGGCTGCAAATAAGGTGTCAAATGTTTAAAAAGGAAAAAAAAGGTCAAACATTTTTGGTGAAAGTGATCCTGCTTGTAAATGACACCAACTTGCACTTACTTCCATTATCAAAGGCTGCTTGTGCATGGACACAACTGCAGGCACACACCCAAATACATTTCCTGTATAGGAACTGTTCAAGTGAATACACTTTCTGAATGACAGGCACCCATTAGCAGATAAATGTTAGCTTGACCTCTTTGTATAGAGATCAGTCAGCTGTGTGCCAGTGTGTATGTTTGCCTTTCATTCAAAGCTCTACTGCCATCATCTGGTCAAGGTTTGTATTGTTAGTTTGTCCTCAAGCAGCCCTGTTTTCTTCCCCGACAACATCACCAACGTAAAGTAAAGCACTCTAGGGCCACACTGCTGTAATAATAAAGTAATGGGGCGAAGCCTGCGAGCTAGTTCAGGCAGTCAACTCGAGCACCAATGATACATTAAAGGTGGGGTAGGTAAGTTTGAGAAACCGGCTCGAGATACACTTTTTGTTATATTCCATGGAATGCTCTTAACATCCTGATAACAATGAATATCTTAAGTGCTTTGACAAAAAATCCATAAAAACATTTAATCTGTGGAAGCCGTAATACTGTAAAAAGCACGACCAATTATTTTAGCCGGCCCGGCTAAAATAACTGGATGGCCTACCTGCCTGTCAGCCTTCCATCTGTGCACAAACTTATCTCGTGCCCTCATTGGTCATGTGCGCGTTCGTGTGTTGGAGGAGGGGCTCTGTAAGGAAGTGGCAGATTTTCTCCGGTTGTGTATTTTCAAATTCTAGCGATCTCGAGCCGGTTTCTCAAACTTACCTACCCCACCTTTAACACGTGACGCACCTCGTCCCTCTTACAACCAACCAATCAAATTCTCCTAAACATGCCGCTCTATTTAAGCTGCCAGGTCTCCCTACCTCTGCCTCGCTCATGCTGCTGCTGCCACTACTGTGTTCACTTGCTATTGCTGCGTTCATGTTCCTGTTGCTGTGTTTCATGTTGCTGCTACTTGCCTGCCCCCCCACCACCCCAGCTCCACCCCACCACCACCCCAGCTTCCACCCCAGCTTCCACCCCAGCTTCCACTTGTAGGCTCGGGGGGATAGTTATCTAATCATCACTCAATGTGCTTTGTAAATCTGTGGAGTGATGAGGCCCGAGCCTAGACGCCAAAGTCAAACTATATGCTGCTTCTAATAAACATATTAAGAAACACGTGAGTTGTCTGACTGAAATGTGTTTGTTGTAAGAAGTTTTAAAAATAATGTTCTTCTGCTGTGTTTCCTGTCAGAGCACCAGGCCGCTCTCTTGCAGCTGAAGAGAGAATGCAAAGAGGAGCTGGAGACGTTACAGGTCAGTGAGAATGATCGAGTCAGGATAAGGAAGAAAAGCGCTTTAGTGCTTTTATGCTTTAGCTTATGGGTCCATCATCGCAAAAATATTGAGAAAATCCATTGAAAAATAGCTGGAAAAGACTAGAAAACGTAAAAAAAAATGTGAAACTCCAAATATAATGAAACAAAAATGTCCAATCATTTGGAAAAAAGAAAATAATATTTACTTAAATTTAAAAGTCAGATGCAGTCGACTGGCAGCTTTAGACTATTCTCAGGAATTGTCAATGTCTCTTGTACGCCATGTAAAGGTTTCGGGTACCTACTGTACTTACTGTATATTGTGGATGTCTTTGCTTTATTGTAACTAAAAGAACAATTCAAAATAAAGTATTAAAAAAACTATTATAATTGAAATGTCACTGGAGAAAAACACCTTTTGTGTCTTAACTGATATTATTTTCAGGAGGACTTTGGTCAGCAGCTCTCCAGACTGCGGGTGGAGAACGAGGACAATGTGTCCCGTCTGGAGTTCAGTGTCTCCGAGCTGCAGGTCCTCCTCTCCCAGGCCGGGACCCGCCGTCACGGGGAACTCAAAGACGTTGCTGTGTCAACGGAAGACGACTTCTTACACAAGTCTTTCCGCACAGTGTGCATCCAGACCGACAGGGAGACATTTCTTAAGACCCCTGACGATGGAGAGGGAGCAACGAGAGCGAGCACCAGCCCCCAGCAGCAGAGGGTGACCCCCAGAAAACTGGACCTGACGTCTATCAGCCTCAGCCTGGCCGGACACAGGGACGATTCTTCCTCTTCATCACATGACCCTCCATCACTTCCTCAAATGCAGCCTCCATCAGTACAACCACTAGCTCCTTCTCAGACAACCAAAACACAAATCCTGCCTCCTCCTCCTCCTCCACCTCCTCCACCTCCACCATGTTTTTCTTCACCCCTTAACCTCATGCAGACGTCACATAGCGCTCCACCACCTCCTCCACCTCCTCCCTCCACTCCAGGCTTTGCTCCCCCACCTCCTCCACCTCCACCTCCTCCCTCCACTCCAGGCTTTGCTCCCCCACCTCCTCCACCTCCACCTCCTCCCTCCATGCCAGGCTTCGCTCCCCCACCTCCTCCTCCTCCAGCTGGGGGTTTTATTGTTGAACAACCTCCAAGGAAGCAGACAGTGGAGCCGTCCCGACCCATGAAGCCTCTCTACTGGACCAGAATCCATATCCAGCACAACAAGTAGGGTCAAACACTGCTGTAAAAATAAACGTATTCTTACTTTTCATTTAAATATATTTTTAAATACATAAGGGTTTTTAAAAATCACTTATTGTATGAATTCAAATTCAAAATGTGTATAATAGTAATCGGGGTTTAATTGAGTAAAGAACTTAGGGCTGGGGGCTCTGAGAAAAATTCTTATTTTGTAAATGAAATGATTATCTTATATTACTGCCCCACTCTAAACACCTGACAAAAGTAAATAGATTGAAAACATGCTGATGAAATATAATATTTCTCTCTCCCTATAGGAACACACTGTGGAACATTTTAGAGGAACCAAATATAATAAATGCCGGCCAGTTTGAGGATCTTTTCGCCAAAACCATCACACACACCAAGAAGAAGCCGCTGTCCGAGGCTTATGAGAAGAAAGCCAAAGCCAGGAAGGTAAAATGCAAAATCATGCATGGCAAACTGCAGAATATGGGATATTTGCAATATGTTGCTTCTCCACTAGAGGGGGTTAATGCCATTGAGACTACATATAGGGAATATAAAAGAACATTAAATCCAGATTGAGACACAACTATGAGATTTTTGAACACACTAAATAATCCCCCTTGTATCCTCAAATCAAGTGTTTTTAAATCGTGATTATTCAATATCTTTCCCCTCATCACACCCCTCATATTTTGCCACTGTTATGTAACTTTGATCATTTCCCCCCCAAATTTGATTGAGTTGCAGTTCCTCATTTTATTTTGTCTGCTATAGTTACAGGCAGAAAGGACCCTAATGCTACAGAACTATTTGTATTGACACAAAGGCAATCCAAAGTATAACAAATAAGAACACATTTAACAGACAATGAGAAGAAAACATACATTTACATGATTATCATTAAACAAAAAGGGAAAAGAAGACCCCATCTGTTCAAACAAGAGGTTAATAATAAGGTCAAGGCAAAACGTGACCTTTGTTTGTTTTGCTGCACCTTTAAACAAAAACTCTACACTAATGACTCCCTAATGGCTTCTAGTGTTAAGGTAGTCATGGTAACTGTGTGTGTGTGTGTGTGTGTGTGTGTGTGTGTGTGTGTGTGTGTGTGTGTGTGTGTGTGTGTGTGTGTGTGTGTGTGTGTGTGTGTGTGTGTGTGGTGTGTGTGTGTGTGTGTGTGTGTGTGTGTGTGTGTGTCAGATCATTAAGCTGTTGGAAGGGAAGCGCTCTCAGGCCGTGGGCATCCTCATATCGAGCCTCCACCTGGAGATGAAAGACATCCAACAAGGTGAGTAATCGAGGCGTGTCATTGGTTCAGTCGTGTTGCTAGGATGCGGCTTAGTTCAAAGTGCATCAGGAAATAAACCTTACTTCCAATATAGTCATATAATGAAGAAGCTCAGATTTCTTAAGCACATTTTGTCTTTGAATAGCTCAGATTCACATTCATTTGACATTATAACATTTCAACTTATACTAGAATATATTTTTCTAAGACCCATGGGAATAAAAAGTGTATGTGTGGCAAAATCAAAAGATCTCTTACATTAATTATACCGATTCCCATAGGTATTTAACACAGCTTTTACAAATCGGTGGGACCTGATTTGATGGTAAATTGTGGTTAGTATGATTTGTGAAAAATATCAAAGTACATCTACTAAAGTACAGTACATTATGACAATTCTGAGGTACTTTACTTGAGTATTTTCATTTTACTTTATGCTATTTGTACTTTAACTCCACTAGGGAAGGGAAATATTGTACTCTTTACTACTTTCTCGGCTTTTAAACATAATTTGGACTATAAAAGTGTGTGAAATCAAGCACACATCATCATGTTATGACATCAAATTCAGCGATCATTAAACTAGCTATATTTCCAAGCCAGTTTTGGGAATTGCAGCCTTCATCTGTAATCATTCAGGTAACCGCTGTTACACCAATGTTTAACTTTAACCCATCATCACACTGAAGTTAGCCTGGGCTTCACTCTGAATATGAGCTGTTGGTGAATTTAAAGGGGACCTATCATGCAAAATGCACTTTTGTACGTCTTTTATACATGAATATGTGTCCCCGGTGTGTCAGGGAACTCACCAAGTGTCAGAAAACACAACCCTCTCTCTTTTCCTCCATACCCAAATCTCTAAAAACGGGGCTGCAACGGAGCTGATACAGATTTGAAATTGTTCTGACGTTAGAAACAGGGAGCTCCGCCTATATGGGCAACTCTCCACCTATCAGGGGAATGGGGGGTTGGGCCACGGCCATTGCCGCTCGAAAGCGCTGGAGACGCTGTAGTACATATGCCAGTCCTGTAAGTGGCGCTGTAGTCTGCCACAAAAGCAGCGAAGAAGACTTCTCACAGAATCAGCCCTTGCAAAAACAGGGCTGGAAAAGAGCAAATAGAGCGAAATGACGCATGGCTAAAATGCATGATCTGTTTGGTATTTTGAAAAAAAAACTTCACAGACATGTTTTATATAGGTATGGCCCTACAATATATTATTAAAATATAGCATGATAGGTCCACTTTAAAGTATGACCAAAGACTGAAAAACATTTACCACAATCAGCAGTGCTAATCCCAAACTCCTCAACATGTAGCAGAGAGCAGAGAGAGATGTGTTCATGTTCATGTCCTCTGGAGATCTGCTGCTCTGTTTGGACTTTCACTTTTACATTTGATGTCTGTGCCTTGATTTAACATTCCCGTTCTAGCGGTGCTGGCAGTTGATCACTCTGTGGTGGACTTGGAGACCATTGAAGCCCTTTATGAAAATGTAGGTATTGCTTTCAATGTATTTATATTAATGTACAGTATGTATATTGTGACTACGCTAAAACTGGTGACATGTTCTCGCTTCACATGTTGTTTATTTAACACAATGAACATACATGTCAAAGTAATACAACATTTTGTTTTTATAGCACATTACTACTGTATACTGTGGTATATTTTAATGTCAATATATCAGAGAGCGCAGCCAGAAGAGCTGGAGAGGATCAGGAAGCATTACGAGACGTCCGAGGAAGAGGAAGTGAAACTGCTGGACAAACCTGAACAGTAAGTATCTCCCCTGCTGTGTTTTGTGTGTGTGTGTGTGTGTGTGTGTGTGTGTGTGTGTGTGTGTGTGTGTGTGTGTGTGTGTGTGTGTGTGTGCGTGTGCGTGTGTGCGTGTGTGTGTGTTCATGTGTTGATGTTGTTGTGCTGCAGGTTCCTGTATGAGCTGTCTCAGATCCCAGACTTTGCAGGCAGAGCTCACTGCATCATCTTCCAGGCGGCCTTCATCGATGGGACCACATCCATCCAGAGCAAGCTCAACACAGTTTCATCCGTCTGTAAGGTGGGACATAAAGCACCTGCGGCACATACCCATTCTTCTCATAGTATATTAACATACTGTACCAGAAATATTGCTCTTTTTCCAGTATGTATCTATGCTTTGAGACGTGTAATACAGAGGGTTTGAGGTACCAGCAGTCTGTAATTGATCTTGTGTGTGTGTGTTTTGTTTGAAGGCTCTGCTGGAGAGTGAAGGTGTGATGGATGTGATGGGACTGGTTTTGGCTCTGGGGAATCACATGAACGGAGGAAACCGGACCCGAGGTCAGGCGGATGGCTTCGGACTCGAGATTCTTCCCAAACTGAAGGATGTCAAGAGCAGAGTAAGACCTGGAGGAGGACTGGAGTGGCTCTTTTGGAGGCCAGTTTTTTTGTTTTATTGGGATGGAGTACAAGTGCGGAGTACAAGTGCGGAGTACAAGTGCGGTGGACAATGTAATGTGTAGAATTTATTGCTCATTGGCAAAAGCAGAAAAGTGTTTTTAGTGCAAGTGAAAAGAGATCATCCAACACTTATATCAAGTCATAGAGAGTGGATTTGTTTTCTTACTTTTACACATTAACTCTATGTGAGTGACTCCTTGCATGTAGTTGAATATCATGCAATACATTTTCTTTTCAAATGAAACACCTTAATATTCATGGTTTTAATAAAGGCACTTTAATATGGCTGCCAGCTTGCACACTCAGATTTCATCTTGTACTGTATTGTCGTAGTTTTGATGCATCTTTTGCTTTTCTTCTCAGGACAATCGTATCAGCCTGGTGGACTATGTGGTGTCCTACTACCTGCACAATGTGGATGAGGTATGAGTTGATTTGCTATTTAAATATTGTTATTCCTTTTTAGGCTATACTCTACAATGAAGCTGTCTATCTATGTTGCTTTCTCCAGAGTATAATATCCGAAGACGGTTGAGTGTGCTTTTAAAACCAATAGATGCAACACAATATTTTCTTTTTGGAATCATCATCCAGTAGATTTGAGGTCCTATTCAACCAGTTATCGACGGACAATTGAACACATTTTCTACGTTAACTTAAAGGTAGGGTAGGTAAGAATGGAGAAGCCAGCTCGAGTGCGCTAGAATTTGAAAGTACGCAGCCGAAAAAAATCTGCCCCTTCCTTCAGACTTCCTCACAGAGCCCCTCCTCCAACACACACGAACGCGCACATGACCAATGAGGGCACGAGATAAGTGTGTGCACAGATGGAAGGCTGACAGGCAGGTAGGCCATCCAGTTATTTTAGCCGGGCCGGCTCAGATGATTGGTCGTGCTTTTTACAGCGCCACGGCTTCCACAGATGACATTTTTTAATGTATTTATTGTCAAAGCATTTAATATATTCATTGCTATCGGGATGTTAAGAGCACTCCATGGAATATAACAAAAAGTGTTTCTGAAGTGAATTACCTACCCCACCTTTAATATCTGTTTGCTTTCTTTCTTTGTCCATTTTGACTCTGATCTGATGAATTAGTGTCAGAACTACATGTGTTTTTGATTGTATCCCACCAGAACGCCGGCACAGACAAGAGTGTATTCCCACTTCCTGAACCTCAGGACGTCTTCCTGGCTGCACAGGTCAAGTTTGACGACCTGAACAGAGACCTGAGACAGCTCGGACGAGATCTGACAAGTATGTGAAGACACAACTGCAACCTCCTATCTATTCCATCTTCTTCTGGAGAAATAAATATCAAAACTCCTCTCGGTTCATAATATTATTACATGATAATCCGCAAACCATGAGCTCCTCTTTGAGCTTCAGCGTCCGTGTGACTGGGTGACCGGAATAGTCTCGCCTTGTGGTCATTTTGTTGTGTTTTTGTGTTAAAACCTCAGCCAGCCTGTGTAATTCTATCACTCTGATTTTGAGAGTTTCCCACAGACCAAACCTCGGCCCAGTCTGGCATCGTTTTTCCTCAGACACCCCCCCCCCCCTCACACACACACACACACACACACACACACACACACACACACACACACACACACACACACGCACACGCACACGCACAACTCACCACCCTGGTTTCCCATCACCGGCCCCAGCCATTGAGTAACTGTTTATACTTAGGACTGCTTCTTTTATCGATCTTGAGTTTGCTAAAGCTCCAGAACAAAAGATTTCCTCTCGTCTTTCTAACTCTCCTCGCTGTTTCTTTCTCTCTCTAAGTGTGCCCATATGACGCCACTCAGCAATGCCAGCCAGTTAAAGTCACGTCCAGGACAATGCTTACTCTTACATGTGTACGATTGTGAGTGGGTGCATTGTTGTGTCCTTATGTATACATGTGTTTTTGCCTGCACTTCGCTGTGCGTGTATTCAGAGTCTTTCTGCTGATACACTGGCGCCTTTCAGATCCAGCTTCTAATCCTCCTGCCCATCAGATCTCACATCGGAGGGCCTTTGTGCTACTGTCGCCAGTGCAGGGAGACCATAGCTTCCTACTTGTGTAATCTCCAGACCTCCAGTATCTCTGCAGAGATGCACGGATCCTTAACCTGCCCGACTGTATCACTGGGCTCCAGTGTGGCCCCCCCAGATGTGAGCGCAGACAGCTTTCTTTACCTCTCAACACAGCTTTGTCTTTATCGCCCGTCTACCCAAACCACCGTGCGATCTCGATGGCCTGACGCAGCTTCCTTTTGTTCTGCCCGTTTGAACCGCCCTCATGTTTGGTTTCTGTCGTTCTTCACTCTCCCTGTGTTTTCGGTTTGCTTGGTATGAAATGTTTGCCAACAAAGTCACAGGGAGATTAGCTTCTCTTAAGTCATCCATGTTGACTGTTGACGGAAAGGAGATCCAAAGACATAAAAAGACCTTCTTCTAATAGCAAATTAACAAGGTAAATGTCAATCCACGGTTCTCCAGGAGAGCCACTATGTAGTTATCATTTTTGTTTTTTGGTCTAATGTCTATAGAACTATTAGATGGATTGCCATAAAATGCGTTATCTTCATATTACCTTCAGGAAGATGTGTCATAAGTTTGGTAGCATCAGGTCAGAAATGTGTCCAACCCGTTAAACTCATCCTCAGTTCTAGGCAAGGCAAGGCAAGTTTATTTATATAGCACTTTTCTGTACGCGACAATTCAAAGTGCTTCTACCTTGTTTCTAGCTTTAATAGCAAGTTAGCATGTAAGCTAACCTTAGATGGTTAACATTATACCTACTACACATCAAAACATGGAGCATTTAGGGTACTGCCATGCCTAATTTACATGTAGACTATTGTTTTGTATTTTGGGTGAGCTAAGCCTTTTAAACACTAGCTAGCTTCATTTCCATTATCATTTTAATGTGTTGCTCTTACAATATTGTTTGAGTTTATTTCCAGTATCATACATGGACTATGGAAGTACAGTAAGGATCTTTCTTTATTTGCGAAGCAGTGAAACCATTTTCTCTTCCATTCATTGGCCAAGTGAAATATTGGTTGTGAAGGACGGTGTTTGCTTCCATAGTCTGTCTGTACTTCAGCCTGAGTTTGGTTTCCTTCACATGATTTTGCTGCGATTGATGAGGTTACTCGTGTAAACCACCAAAACCTACAAATCTTCTCACTATGAAAGCAAGTCACTTCTTCAGTCTCACATCTGAACGCCCCACACTCCTCATGAGCCCGCTCTGTTTATGTGAGGGTCTATAATCCTCTTCGGTCTGACATAAGCAAACTTCTGCTGAACACAAAGGGCCGTCAAAAGATAGAAAGGAGAGGGAGAGATACCCGCCTCCACAGTTTACACAAATCCTGAATGAAAACAGTATTCTTTTGTAATCTTATCTGCGAGATGTTGATCGAGCGTGAGGGTGGTGGGGGGGTGCAGGGTCTCGGCTCCCTCTGCAGCCTCTATTATGACTGGCTCTGCAGACTGGCTCCTCTGATCCACTGATTGGAGCAACATGGAGAGAGGGAAGGAGGCAGAGAGGGAAGCAGTCGCCATCTCTGGGTGAATCTCAGCGAGTGATATCTAAAGAGGAAGCTGTGCTGATGACCTCCTGCTCGGCACAGGTGGAGCTAGTTTAACCCACTTCTCCCCTTTATGGAAGCTCGTCTCTGCGAGTAAAAACAAAAAAAAAGGTTGTAAATTGAGACTTAGCATTCTTAAAAAAAAAAATCTTAGTACCTCAAAATAACAAAGAACATCTCAAAGTAATGACTTAATGTCCCAATATAATGAAAACTCAAAAATAATAATGAATATGTATCACAAAAAAATTAAAACGTTCTCAAAACATTTACTAAGTTCTGCAAATAATGACCAAGTATCCCTAGATGATATAAAAGTCATCGTGTTGTCTCTTTCCTCCGCAGCTACACATTGTCTCTTCTTAAACACCATTCATTAAATCTAGAAATAAATGTTGAGTGTATTTTCCAATCCTTTCTTGTTTCTGTTTTGTCACCAGGATGTGAGAAAGATGTAAGGAACGTTTGCTCTGATTCTCCTGAAGAAAACCTGCAGCCGTTTAAAGACAAGATGGAGGCTTTTGTTCTCAGGGGTGAGTTCTCACACACAGGACTAAAGGCCGAATTGAATGTTACTGGGTTCAACAACGTGGTACATTGGAGTGCTTGCTAAAGGAAAACATGTAACCCTTATGTTGTGTTCGGGTCTCCCGTGACCCGTTTCAAGTTAAAATGATGTAATAACTACGCTCTAGTTTTTTTTATCGGAACAAGGCTTCATGATATCCTCCACAACAGCTATATAAACTCTACAAAACTGATTTTGACCATTTTTGCCAAGTCTGAAGTCTCTTAAAAGAAAGTGTATAATTTGGTGTTGGGGTCTGGGGAGACCCAGCAGAATTGTTTTGGGTGACTCGAGGTCAAATTTGGCCCAATCAAGATTAATCTTTGACTTTAGACACCCCTCCCCCACCCCCTTCATTAACTGTAACAATAATTGTTCGCAACATGCACCTGGTCTCCCCTCCCTCTGCCCCCCTCCCCCCACGGGAACTCCACCTTTCTCAAAGAATATGTACACTAACACTTGAACCTGAACACACACATGCACGTGTGCAATATGTGGTGTGATGTGTTTTGGGCCATAACATTAAATTACAACAGGATTGTACGGTTATGAATGCATTATAAGTTAGTTATGATGTAGTTAAAACAATATTGGATGATAGTATTTTTTTGTGTGTGTTTTGGACTGAGATAAATCATGGGTCAAAATTGACCCGCTAACACCATGAACGGTAACAGCTTTTGAACACAACACACGGGTTAAGGGCTCAAAGGGAATATTTTGAAGTACTGAAAATATTTAAAGGGGTCCAATTATGCTCATTTTCAGGTTCAAATTTGAATTTGTGCCTCTACTGTGAAATGTTTAAATTGTGTAATTATCAAAAAGGTCTTTATTTGTTGTCTTGTACTGCAGCAGCTCTTTTCACCCTCTGTCTGAAACCAGAGTCTGCTCTGATTGGTTAGCGGTCAACAGCTTAGAGATGTCCCGCCCCTTTGCTTATCACGTATCACATGTGTTGGAGAGCTATCTAAAAGTAGTGCGAGTGTTACATAGTGATGTCACTGTGTCCAATGTATGCATTTCATTTGAGTGTGTGGAAGAGAGAACTTTGGGATTTTAGCCTTTGCAGACCATTTACATGCACCTATATTACAACCTACATGAGAGGGAAAACATCAATAAGCATAATAGGGCCTTTTTAACTCCTGAGTTCCGATTACTTAATTTAATATGAGAATGATCATATAATAAGGAATCTGTCCACTCTACCATTTCTTTCTCCCTAATATGCTTCATCTAAACTAGTTTATTGTCTTTAGCAGTCAGATAAGTCTTGTTACCGTCTGTGTTCGTAAAGGACAGATAGGGAGGATTCAGAGTACAGGCTAGACACGCAGATAGGGATCAGGCAGATTTGGCAATGACTGAGAGACGGCTGAGACACACCGGCTCTGGGACATATTCATCATGTTAGGGTTTTTATTTTGACCCAGTGTCAGGAAGAATCACACTCAGTTCCCCTCACAAGAATTTCAAATGGCACGGATGGATTTTAGTTTCTTGTTTTGAATATAATCACTTTTTCTGCCTGTGATGAAAAGTGACACCCCAAAGCTTCAAAGTAAAGAGTTTCAACCAGAAAACTCTAGACTTTTGTTGGATCTTTTGTCACATGTGTTTCATTTGATATACAGGGCATCGAGGAAGTATTCAGACCTTAAAGGTCCCATGTTATGCTTTTCCGGTTATTACCCGTCCCCTTGTGTGTTATGAAGGTTTTTATGCATGTAAACGGTCTGCAGAGTCACAAACCCTCAAAGTACACCCTGTAGCGAGTAAAAATCTAACACAGAAAATACCTGTCTATGCTGCCCCAGAACGCCTCGTTGGAGACTGTGACGCGCTGGGGGGGGGGGTGCTAGTGGAGCCTCGCTGCGGCGATACTGTGGCGCGCTTACACTGTAGGTGCGCCGCGTTTGGGCGTGCGGGTGCTAGTGGAACATCGCAGATGGGGGTTCTACAGCACCCCCCCCCCCCCCCCCCCCCCCCTCCCCGCGTCCATTCGCGATGTCTCACTGTCTCACAGACCCCACGCAGCAAGCAGGAAATGAACCCAGCTCACACTGTCCGCTCCTCGCAGCAGCGAGCCGCGCAACGTCCCACTAACGCGGCACCCAGACCCCACGCAGCATTCTCATCTGTTTGTCCTTACTGGTGTCATTTTCTGGTTGCTAATGCCATTGTAACACATAATCACTGATGTTCCGCTGTAACCGTGGTGGACTCATCAGAATAGAGTGGGCGAGCTGACCAATCAGAGCACAGTGGGCTCATAGGGAGGGGGTGGCAGGAGCACCAACAGGCCGTGTAGGACAGAGAGTGAATACACATACTAGAGATGCTGTATGAGAAACCAATGTGAGTTTGGAAAATTGCACAATGTAAATCTATTCTAGTATACCTCAACAATGGAATTATGATCAGTAGAAATGGCCATGACATGGGCCCTTTAACTATTCCCCCTTTTTGTAAGGTTGCAGGCTAATGCTTAAACACCTTAAAATGCACTGTTCCCCCTTCATCTAAACTCAGTATCCCATAATGACAAAGCAGGATTTTAGATTTATTTCTGTGATCTGCGCCTCGACACACTAGCTGTTTCTTCAACCACATGTCCTAGACTTTGATCTGATTGGTCAGCTGTGAGACCTTTTTATAGACAGGTGTGTGCCTTTCCTAATTAGGTGCAATTAGTAGTTGAATCACCACAGGTGGATCCGAACAAGGTGGAGAAACATGTCACGGATGATTAAAAGGAATGAGAGGCACCTGTTTCATAGTAAAGGGTCAACTTTCAGTTTATCGTTTGAACACATTTGCAAAGATTTCTAGAATCTTTTTCCTGTTGTTATGATGAATTGTGGCCACATTTATGTGGGAAAATACATTTATGCATAAGGCTGCAACATAACAAGATGTGAAAAGGGGTTTTAAAACGTCCTGAACTCGCTGTAAAACAATAAAAGACCAAATAAACTGTTTGCATCTTTCTGTGAGAATTTCTGCCATTTTCAATCTTTATTTGTCATTTCAAACACATGAAGCACATATTTCTCAAACAAACATTTTGGAAGATTTTAACATCACAGCTTCACCAAACAATGAAAGCAAGTCATATATGACATTGTGTCTTTGTTGAAAATATATTTAAAAAATGTGTCTAAAATGGTAGCAGACTCAAATTAAGTAATCTAAACTAAATGGCTAATAGGTTCATTTAGAAAACCATCATTATAAGATATTCATATTGTCTTTTTACATGTATTTATATCCATATAAGCTCCATATGATTAGGGTGAGGGTTATGTTTCTGAGGCTGAGTCTGCTCATAACTAAACTGTTTCCTTTTCTCTTTCTTTGCAGCACGTAAAGAACACGCAGAGGCGTCTTATCAGTTGATGACTGTACAAAAAAGGTGTGAGAATTAAACCATATTTTGTGTGCACCATACAGGGCTTTGTTTGAATTTGATTAAAAAAATAATTGTCGACATGAGCAGCCACAAACATGTTTACAGTAGGGAAAAATGCAATCTATGAACGTGTGTGGAAATTATTTTAATTTCAGTTAACTTGTTCAGTTTTCAGGACTTGACTCTGTACTTTGGACTGAAGCCTAAGTCAGGAGAGAAGGAGGTGACGGCCGGGCATCTCTTCATGCTCTGGTTTGAGTTTTGTGCCGACTTCAAAGCCAGGTGGAAGAGGGAGAACAAGAACCTCTCAAATGAAAGGTATCAGAGATTTGCACGTGCATCTTCTGTTTGTAATAAGTAGGATTCTCTCTTTATTTCTTTCAGGTTTGTCTGTTTGTTTGCAGTATTACATAAATACTACCCGCCCAATTTCCATGAAACTTTGTTGAACGGTGTAGCATGGGCCAAAGTAAACCCATTCAATTGGAGGTGATCCCGAGGTTGTTACACAAATGATTTTACACTTTCATTGACATTGCGAGATAGGTCTGTCTGCGCTCTCTGAGCTCTGACTAGTATTGAAGATAACAGATTTGCAAACAGTGAAATGCTTTACCTCCACGTCATTGAGTAAATCTGCGTTCCTTTTTTGGTTTGATTGAACTAATTTGACTGAACTTATTAGTCATGTCAAATCTAGTCGATACTTTGAATTTATACTCTAAAGAATGTGATTTCTAAAACTAAGTCAAACCATTGAACCAATGAACTTGACACCTTGTTTTTGCAGATTAAAAGAGGCTCAGCTGTCAGTGAAGAGGATCACATCGGAGAAGAAGGTGGAGACCAGAAAGATCAATCCCAACAGTCTGGTAAGATTTGACACAGTCACAGTTTAGACTCTAAATTAATACATTTCCTAAACCACGCAATGCAGATAAATAAATACACATACTGTACATAAATAAACTCATGCTTTTACTCTCTGTCTCACTAGGAAATATAGGCACATTATTCAAAACACTTCTTTCTGCTTTGATGTCCAGATTGTGTTTTGTCAGAATTGATAACACACATTTTACTACCAACAGAAAGAGAGACTGCGTCAGAAAGAATCCAACATCTCCTCGATTTAAGAGAGAAGAAGCATAAAGCTGACTGATCCGGATCAATAAAACCATCTTGGGTTGGACTGGAAATGGACCATGATACCAAATGAACAGTTTATTCATTAAAACAAGATCAATGAATGGATTTTTTTTTTAATTCGTCACTTTTACCTAAAGAATCAGTTTTGTTAAATATTTGCCACCCTAAATGAACTTTGATTTGACAGATTTTAACGTGCAATATTTAGAGTGTAATATTATAAACCATAGCGCTATATTTATATTTGTGTATTGAACTTTCTAAGCCAATGATTTGCATCTCCAATCCTCATTTTTCTACGAATACAATCACTGATTAAAAAAATACATGATTTCATAGTGTTTTATTTATGAGCAACTTTACAAGACATGAAACACATATTATACACGGTTATAAAACAAAAGAAGTGGCATTTAGCAGTGCAGGTTGTACAAATAATAAATCATGATGAGCTTAACATCCCACACAGTGGAAACAATAAAACCATCCCAATCCTTGGAACAAATGTCTTTATAATCAGATGATCCATCAGCCTGCATGCTAATATCTGATCATCAGTGGCAATACTGCAAAATAATAACACATCTTCCAAATGTGATAACAAAGGAAAAGCTGTTGGTGTGAAAGCAATGACTGATGATAGATGAGATATTTGGACGATGTGAGGAATTATTGATTACAGCTTAAAGTATCATCTATTTTAGAGAGAAAAGGGAGAAATAAATTGAATCAACCACGTTTGTATATTCATCTCCTCTCCTTTACAATGACAACAAGGGCTCAGGTTACTTCTTCGCCTTGTTATTCCAACTTTTGTCCTTTAAGCCAAATACACTTTCCAGTTGTTGTTTTTTGCAATGATGCAGTCTCCCTCCAGTGGCATCGGGTATTTACAACCTTGATTTGCGACAGTTTCCCGTCTAATCCGTATCTATCGTGGTGCAGCGACACTGCTTTACACGCTGGATCCGTTTCTTCCTGGTGCTGGGTGTCTGGCCCGGGCAGTACAGGGTGTAGGTGACGGTGCTGAAGGTTTTGGGTTTGCAGGCAGAGCAGGACTGAAAGGCGTCTCCGTCCTGGTAGTTATGCCTCGGGATGTAGAAGGAGTTGCACTGTCCGTAGCAGAACCGGTTGATGATGGTGCGGCTCAGGCAGCCCTCCTCCTGGATCGTCTGCTTCAGCGGCTGCGTCTTGCACCAGTCCAGCCGCAGGTACCGGCGCTCCGTGACGTGCAGAGCCTCCTGACTGGACTCCAGCACCTCGTCGGTGGCGGTGACAGGCCCCGGTCCGCGGGTAAGTAGTCCACTGATGGCGGGCTGTTGGCATCCATCCGATTCGTTTGGGTTGTATTTGTTTGGGTGGGGGAGTGCGCCTTGAAAAGTGGATGCTTCCGCGAGCAAAAGCACTAAAACCGCTGCAGAGATCATCATTGATGGTGTTGTCATCTTTGAAACTAAAAGAGAAAAACCGTGTCAGTCATTGGTAATCATTTTACGAAATTCGTGTGGATTTACGCACAGCTTTTACGCGCCCATTACGCAACAAAGAAAATGATAATTTAGAAGTTCAGTCAAACACTATCAGCCGTTACTAAAGTTGAGTTACCTGTTTATTAAAGCTCCTCAATAGAAAACGTTATCCAGTCAGTCACAGCGTGGGTTTCTTCTTCAGGTCTCTCCTCCTCTGTAGTGGCTTATGAATGACTCACTGAGGGCTTTTCTAAACTGTCTTGAGCTACAGAGCTTCATCTGAACACGCCCCCGTCCCCCCTTCTCAAACTCTGACCCTCACCTCATCTGTCTGGATTGGAATTGTAAAATAAAAAACACTTCCAAACTTTTTCAATGCAGATAAATCGTTTATTTGACTTTACAGAACAAAAACACAACACAAACATTTATCCGGCAAGATGAAGTTACACAACAGATTCAGTGCTGCCTGTAGAGACTTATATACTGCAGTATGGTGACAGAAGCAGATATACATCACCAGTAGAATAGCTACAGTATTTACCATGCTACAGTGATGTTTCAAATCATCCTTCACAAGACAAAGCAAAGCCGCTACTTTGCTTCCAAGATTAATGTGACTTATATTGAATCTTTGCTTCAGATGTGATTAACTGGAAATATCAAGACATACAAAAAACCTAACTTCAGAAACTTCAGAGTGAGTTAATTCATTTCTGTACAGTCATGAATAAGAATTACCATCTTATTCAACATTTCCCCAGATCTATATTCAACTCATTATAATACATTTCTAGGTATAATGTACACTGCCAGTCAAGATTTAAACACACAGTTAAAAACTTGTTTCTGGAAGTATAGTAAATATTACAGTGAGTGCTGCAGGAGTTTAGGTGGTGGTTCTGCTGGCAGCAGGGACGGTCGGTGCCGCTTCCTCCTCTTCCTCAGAGAAGTGAGGAACAGACTTTTTGGCGACCACGTTGTCGAGCCTCTGTCCCATCAGGTACGGGTTCACGCTCTGCAGGGAGGCGGAGAAACATGTTACTATTTATACTGTAAACATGAACATAATGACCTAAAATCTGAGCAAATAAGAACATCTGAAAGTTAGGTTTTTAGCTTGTACCAGAAATTATTAATTCAAATGTAAAACAGTGAGGTTAAAAGGAATACTTCATCCCCAAAATGATTATTTGTAGATATAATAAATTACCCTGTGTAACCTTGAATTCCTAAAGAACACTTTGTATGTCTGGCATGTGTCCACAGAAAATTCAAAAAATTGAGGAAAGTTATTTACATATTTATAAAGAATTTACAGTTTTTGGATTTCGTTCATAAAAGCATGCTAAAAAAATGTAAGGTATTGTGGGGTGAGTGATTTAGTTATACAAATGTGTTCTTCCTTTCAGATACATCACTCTGCTCTGGGACAGATGTCAGCGCTGGTGATGTGGTTTCTCAGACACAATACTACAAAGGAAGAAGACAACAAACATGATACCCTTTTTCTTCTTTTGGGTCCACCCTTCAGTTTCTGGTACAAAAGCTCCTTGTTCTGAAAGGAAACACAGAAAAAACATCTTCAGACATTAAATCATGTTTGCCTTTCTTCTACAGCCAGAGTATTTGTTTCTAAATTACAGTCAACAAATCGCCTGAGCAGACAAACATTCAGGGATGAATCCATGCAAATCACAAACAAGTTTAGTGAAGTTTACAGTCCTGCTCTGTACTCACCCACTTGGCCAGCGCTGGGTAGTCGTGCTCGGGGTCAAACAGGTGCTGGTGTTTCTGAAACTCTCTGCTGAACTCGGCTGTGTCCGGAGCGTTTTCCAAACAGCCGTCTGATGCTGTCGGTGTCAAAGGATGCAGAAACGTATGTTAAAAAACAGCAGATCAATTCAATAAAGCACAGACGGAACCAGCCCTGTGGCGTCAATTAAACATCTGCCCTTATGTTCATACTGAGACATTAGTTTGTTTATACATTATGTAATTATAACAAGAGGTCCGACCTGTCTTCTCCAGAGGACAGGGGTTCGGAGGGTCTGGGTACCCGTGATCCTCGCTGAAGTCTTTGGGAACGTTGTCTCCAGTCAGCTCGGCCACAATGTTAGGGATGTTTCCAAAGGGGCCGAGGTGCTGCAGCCCCTCGTGAGCACCACCTTATGGAGGGACACAAGAATTACTAACGGCACAAACACAACAGCAGCTGGAAAAAGATTCATAAAACATGGAGGCAGTAACAGTTGTGTTAATGTCATGTGTTTTTCATGGCATAACAACATTAGTTCTTACATCTTAACATTTGTATTAGTCATTTCAGAACAGGAGGAAGCCCCATCATTGATGAATGATATTAGGCTACTTGCATTCAGCATGATGTATGAATTTGCAACTACTTCCATAATCAGTTAATGTTCATTGTCCATGTTTAACAACAAATGTGAAAACAAATGTGTGAACAAGCTGTACGTCGGATAAAAAAAAAAAAATACAATAAAATAAAGTTATTATATTTCTACATTGCTGTTTTGTTGTTTAAAAACAAATGCAGAATAGACACACATGATAAAGGAATTATCATTTATATTTCTATATATAATGAAAGCAAACCAGAGGGATTGGGTTGTTCTGATCCAGTGTTATTTTAATATTACTGTTTAGGTTGTTCAATCATAATGAGAGGGATTATAGGGCAAAGTGAATATATACTAACATTTAAAATACAGTATGGTTAAATACACAATTCATGCCTCATATTGCACTATCCATACTGTCCAAATGTCCCTTATAATAAAGTGTATTCTTTATTATTTTAGCCATTAATCTTCTTCCTGGTTTTCACCTGGTTCATCTCCTCTTTACAGATAAAGATCACACGGTGTGTCACTGACCCTGAATGCTCTGAGGACCCACGATGTTGGTGGCCTGGTGAGCCGGGTACTCCACCCTGGGCCGAGCGATGCCCAGCTGCTCCATGACGCCGTGCAGGAGGCGCTGGATGTCGGCCTCGGACACCTGGTCTGCCGTGCGGGGGCTCCGGGCTGAAGCTCTGCCCAGCTGCAGGACCAGGAGCAGGCCGAGCACTGAGAGCCGCACCGCCGAGATCATGTCCGTCATCTGCGGGGGAGAAACACATCAGACTACCGCACACAAGATGGACAGTAATGATGTGCAAACACAGCTGCATTTCCTGTTAGATACACATAACAGGCTAATTAAGAACAGATCCCCTAATGTGGAAAAACTGATTGCATGTTATGCCTTCATGTGATCTGTTGTATTCCATACAGACTGTAAAATGCTGTATATTATCTGGAAATGGAATTAAGACTTGGTGCGCCACTTACTCTGTAAACAGACCCATGTAAATATACATATAAATAGCCTATTTTTTCTGTCTATTTAGCAGAAAAAACACCATATTTTATAAGAAAAGCAGAATTGTATAACATGCATTGCATATAAATGTGATTTTATAGCTAGTAAACATAAGAAATGAACAAAACAGAAATGTTACAGTATTGCTTCTTACCGTGTGTGTTGATGGGGACCTGCGTACTGCGCGAGACCTGTGTCAAGCTGGCCAGAAAAAACATGTTTCTGGCTTTTCAGAATAAAAGCTCGCTTTCGTCACACGATGACAAAACTACTTAAAAACCTGTTTCTTCCCTTCGAGACCTATTCTAATTTAAGTTGATACATCATATTTGTGTTCAATTATTTCTAGTTGTTCTAAAAACATTTAATCTTCACGTGTCCGTCGCCTGTTTATTTCTCCCACTTTATTTTGAAGGGATACACTTTATTTCCACTGTCATCATAAGTGCCCATTATGCAACACGCAGGATGCAATCCTCCTCGCTTCACGGTTCAGATGCAGTCGTTGCTATGATACAACAAATCCTCGCTTCTCATTGGCTGTATGCATGTGGCAATTATTTGTGGATGACCTACAGAAACCCTGCACCGAGCAATCATGCTAACATAATCTTAAACTGTAATTATGTCAAAGACAAATCAGAGTAGAAATCTATGTATTTGTGTTTTTTTTAGTAAATGTGTTTGTTTATTTTACATCAATATATCGTTATTCCATTATTTAATTTATAGGTGTGTTGTTTAACGGGCCTTTTTAACCCGATATGCAGTTTAAACAAACTCCTGTATGCTTGGATTTCTGGCATTTTGAGTTTAAATCTTTGGTTTGCATCAAAGATATACTGATATTCATTCCCTAACCATAACCATTTAACAGTTAATATCATTATGTTAAACATAAAAAAGTGAAAAAGAAAATAAGTAAAAAAACTGGAACATTTATTCACTTGAAATGAAAGGTGAAGGTTCACCTACAAAAGTCCTGTGGTCAAATAAATATTAAAAACACATCAATTAATTAAAACTTTCTTAATATTGAAATGCGTTTTCTCCAAGGTGTGAGCTGCCGTTTCCCGACACCAGTGAGAGCAGGGGAGCTCTCTGAACCGTGTCCTCTGGCAAATCGTGAGAAATTGACAAAACGCAGGTCTCTGAAAACAAAAAAGGGCCACGAGACAAAAAAGAAATATCAGATGCATGTCCATTAGATGTGGGACTGGGTCATTTTTACCTTAAAGCCAGTAAAAAAAAAAACACCTATTTTAGTTGCACAGCTCAGGATATGTTGTTTTTTGCGATATCAGATTACATTTAAGCTTTGATACAACACTATATTATAAAAAAAAAAAAAAATCACAAAAAGATCCTTACTACATCACCCATCTGCTATCTCAACCCCAGGTTACATATTAAGTACGTAGAAACCATAAATCTCCTTTACCCCTGCCATAATAACTTCATTTGTATATGAACACTGTTTGAAATGAAGTGAATCATGCTTTAATAATTTACCTTTTTAGTATCTCTTGGGGGCATGCCTCTATGCCATAGAGGCTGTGACTGTCCGACAAAGCCGCGTCAGGCTTGAAACATTGGTCTGTAAACATTAAAAGCGTTACATACTGTAGAAAAATGTATAAAATGTAAATCTGCTGCAGTCTTTTGTTCATATTGTGCTTAAGGCATACAGCTCCTAAACAGCAGGATGTTGGGGAAGGTCTCCATGCCGATGCTTCTCCTGAGCGTGGGTTTCTCCCCGGACGTCGACTCTTTGCTCTGCTCAGAGACGGCCGGCTTGACCTTTGACGTCGCTGGAATCCAGGCTGCCGTCTTCTCTAAAGATTTGAGAACATAAATGAAAGAGGCGTTCATTTCAAGTCAAAGCTAACGGCACAATTTCTACTGCTTTACCTTTCAAACTTTGTGTCTTTCCGTGTCCTCTCCTAGCGTCCTTTAGAACAGGGAAGTTGATCAGAAACTCCATACTGTCCATTACTGCTTTGGGAATCACAGCTAAAAGCAAACAGTAAAGATCTTATAACATTGCACGTATATAGTCAATTCAAACAGCCTTAAATACAGTATATAGCTCAAGGTAGAATCATTTGGTTTGTTACCGAATAAGTGAGGACTTTCAATGAAGGTGTGTAGGACGAGAACTCTGAGTTTAAGCCGCCCTTCAGACATTTCGGCCTTGTTTGGAGGCGGTAAAAGACACGGAGCAAAGACTATGGCGAGGTTGGAGCAGGTCATCAAGTTTTCAGAGCATCTGACAATGAAGAGAAAACACAATTAAATCAATGAAATAGTGTGGAATCCTGCCACTTCCATCAAGTCACTTTAACTCATTGCTCTGAAAAGAACAAGATGGAAAGGAAATAAGGGAACTGTCCATAATTTTAGGCCACTTACACTTGCTATAAAGTCAGTGTAGATCAGGTCAAGTCACCCCTTGATAAATGAGGTCCCAACAATGACTAGAAATAAAAAATATATGTCTATTACAGCAAACAATTACATTTTTTAATGACTTTGGAGACGTTAAACTCTTCAGGCTTCTAAAAATCACTGATCCACAAAAGGAAATGTATGTTGTGTGGTTATCATAAAACCTTTCCACACTGAGGCCATATATAGGGATAACAAGGGGTTACAAGCAGACATAACCTAATTGTGTTGCATCACAAAATGAGGGTGTTATATGTTGTACAGATTGTATGACCCTCTAGGTAAAAAACGAGTCATAAAAACGTCAAATACCATTTTGATAACATGTGTTGAAGCTTTAAATCTTGCTTTTACTGATAAGAAGTTCAATCTCCTGCAGATATGCATCAGGTAAAAGAGACACTGCTATTCAGTTTGTGTTAAAAGGATCGTTCTGACAACATAAGACAGAGACGACTGCTCCTTAAAAACTTTAACATTAGTGTCATCTTTCGCAGATCATATAATAAACTCAAAATTGAGCTTCATACATTCCAGCGCACTAATATAAGCAGACTGTCAAACTTGTAGTTACTCTCAGCGCTCTTTGCCCAAGGATTTCATTCCCCCACATTATTAGGCTCTACAAACCTCTCTGAGACTTTGGAGAGGAAGTCGAACAGGTAATGCAGGCAGGAGGAGTTTCTGGCAGGCAGCAGACAGGACAGCAGCTGCAGGGCGGAGGTCCTGTCCTGCGGGCTGGATAACGCCTGGCCTTTGAGCAAGGCAGCGTGCAGCTCGGGGGGCAGCAGGGGCTCCGGCAGCTCCCTGCAGAACTGCTTGATCAGCGTGGAAACATCATAAGGGAGGGCAGTGGACAGACAACCCTCACCGCTATTCAACTTAGCCTGAAAACACACACAAAGGGGGTCAAATTAACAACACCTCAGTTTTATCCCACAGGCCATAAGAGCATGCTAAACACCTGAGCTCTGTAAAGTGCCCCGATAAACATTCCTGTTGTCATCTTGCAATATACTAATTTATATAAATAGTTATCACCGCAATAAACCGTATTAAATGTTGTCTTAATTTACATTGTTTAATTTCATATTCTGTTCTTGTACATATCATATACTATTGACATGTGTATAAAGACTTTTTGCACTGCTTTTTATTTTGTATTTATATATATATATATATATATATATATATATATATATATTGCATTGTTGGAGGAGCTCAGGTCAGAAGAATTTCATTGCCATTTCTACACTGTAGCTTTGTGCATATGACAATAACACCTTTGAATCTTGAAAAGAAGACACATCAGATCAGTGTTGGCTCAAACCAACAGATGGTGCTATTGCTTCAGGGGAACTTTTATTAGAAAAAGGTCAAAAGGTTATCAGAATCAGAATACCTTTATTCGTTCCACACAGGGGAAATGTACATTTGTTACAGCAGAAAAGAGCCAAAGACAGCTTAATATTAAAGGTAGGGTAGGTAAGTTTGAGAAACCGGCTCGAGATACACTTTTTGTTATATTCCATGGAATGCTCTTAACATCCCGATAGCAATGAATATCTTAAGTGCTTTGACAAAACATCCATAAAAAAATGTTCATCTGTGGAAGCCGTAGCGCTGTAAAAAGCACGACCAATCATTTTAGCCGGACCGGCTAAAATAACTGGATGGCCTACCTGCCGGTCAGCCTTCCATCTGTGCACAAACTTATCTCGTGCCCTCATTGGTCATGTGCGCGTTCGTGTGTGTTGGAGGAGGGGCTCTGTAAGGAAGTGGCAGATTTTCTCCGGTCGTGTATTTTCAAATTCTAGCGCACTCGAGCCGGTTTCTCAAACGTACCTACCCTACCTTTAACTAAGGAGCATGCATTGAAAAAAATATAACAAAAATGACACAATTATTATCTAAATGATCTTACCCTGAGAGTCTTAATGCGAGGAAGAGAGCCTGATTTTCTGAACAGGCCCACAGTCCCAGCACGCTCCAGCAGAAATGAACAAGCATCCACTAAAAAGCTGAGGAACAAAATGTTAAAAAATACAAAAGGATTAAACTAATCTGTTGTTCCAGTTGAATATCATATTTGTTCCAATCCTGCTACTCACCAGGGAACCAGTCCAAACTCAGGAATGTATTTCCTAGCTAAATTCTCCAGAGGAACTCCAAAGATCTTTGAACCACCTAATAACAGTGTCTTCTTTTTCTTCTCCAAGCTCTTCACAGTTATCCCATGGATAATTTGAAGGTGAAACCGAATCACATTACTGTCTGTGATCTTCATGGTTCAAATGCAACTCAACTCAAATATGTTCCAAAGTACACAGCAGTCTCTCACTGAAACACCTCAATCTCCGTCAGTCACTTGGTAAAGTCACTGGTGAAGGAAGGAAGGCCGGCTTTATTATCCTCATCAATATCACCTGCGCTTCAGGTGAACAGGAAGTGAAGGAGTGTTGTGTTCAGGGCAGGTGGGGAACATGGTACATTTGAGCGTTCAACGTGAATATAACTTCAGCTTTTGTTGTCAATTATTGGGCATGATATAATTAAAAAACTAAATAGAAACAATCTTAGCATAAACGTTGTTTAGCTCTCAACCCTTTTGAGGACATTATTTGCAAAAATACTCATAACGAGCAAGGCCAGCTGAATCGATAAATACAAAAACAGACACGGTAAATCTCAAAATGCTGAGAAATGTAGCTGCTTTAGAGGGACTTAAAGGGTCAAAACTCACTAAAAGGGACAGTCATTGTAAGTATGATTTACTTTGAGTATATCAATGGTATGATATTTTTATTTAGGGATCCTTTAAGATAAAGTAATTAGGGAAACGATTATATTTTTCACATATACTTTTGTTAGGTGGATAATTAATAGATATATGTTTTTTATATCACTTGATGAAATCTACAAAACACAATTTACTGTATGATTGAATTCAAGTTAGAGTTTTCACCATAGACTGTACATGGTTTCCACTGCATTGTTCTACAATGTTCAGGTTCAAGGAGAAGAAAACACTTTCTTTAAGCCAAGGGTTGAAACTCCAGCACACTTGTGGTATTAAAAACTTGATGTGTGAGAGGTGTTGGTGTTAATAGTACAAATGGGGTCTATGATCATTTATGTGTGAATAAATTACAACTCATGACCTCATGATATCTTTATTTATACAATTTATTAAATATTAGAAATGTTATTTTGAAGGTGACATGACACATTTCTTTCATATACATTTTTGGTAAGCACAAAATAAAAAAATATTTTAAAAACTGGCTTATTAAAAGGTGCAAACACATCCAGAAGTAGGCACCAGACAGTTACTGTTAAAAGCAACTATTTTATTACAACAGAACATGTATATACAGCAAATGGAACAGTAGAAATACAGATTTGGATGGAGAGCTGGCGCAGTTGGAGTGGAGTTGAATGTTTTTTGGCGCTGGTTGGACGTTTAGAAGCACTTCCTGTGGACGATGGAGGGGCCTGCCTCATCGTACTCCTGCTTGCTGATCCACATCTGCTGGAAGGTGGACAGGGAGGCCAGGATGGAGCCGCCGATCCAGACGGAGTATTTCCTCTCAGGGGGAGCGATGATCTGCGGGTGGAGGAGGAGTACAGGTTGGTACGAGGACATTTTACAATATGAAACTTCAGGCACTTGCTGTCAGCTGGATTTAAAGGGACCTCCAAATGTGAAAACATACTTCGCTCTTACGTGTAGAGCTGTTTTTCAGTCTAGATTGTTTTTATGTGAGTTGTTGAATGTTGGAGGTATCAGCCGTAGAGATGTCTGCTTAATCTCTGATCAAATTAGATAGCACTTCTTGCAGAAATCCTGACCTTGTTACTCAAGATAATCCACAGTTCTTGTTGTGAGCAAGTGGGAACTATTTTGTCTTTCAGAAGTTTTTTTCAGAAGTGCATAAGAATAGGCAAGTTTGCTTCTGCGTGGTGATTGATTCTTCATGTTGGCGGATGAAGATCGAAAGAAAGGAAATAGTTCCTTCATTAAACTTCTCACGACAAGGTCAAAATGGCCTAATGCATTTAATAGTTTCGAACTCTATGGAAACACTTGAATTGCCTGAATCTCTTTAACCGTATCACACACATATTCTATGTTGTATTCTTTTAATTTATGTAACAACTAATGCAATATTTCTTGGTATTCATTCACTGAGCCTTTCCTAAAACTCTCTGGAGAGCCTTCCACTTATATATTTTATTTTGGGGTGACCTTTAAGCAGTCAGTTCTGGTTCTGAAGGCTCACCTTGATCTTCATGGTGCTGGGGGCCAGGGCGGTGATCTCCTTCTGCATCCTGTCAGCGATACCGGGGTACATGGTGGTTCCACCGGACAGCACGTTGTTGGCGTACAGGTCCTTACGGATGTCGATGTCGCACTTCATGATGCTGTTGTAGGCAGTCTCATGGATACCAGCGGACTCCATACCTGCACAGGTGAGAGGAGGAAGGTGAGTGTTTGTACAGCTGACAGTAAATATATAAATAATATATATAAATTAAAAAAAAGTAAAATACTTCATAATGTATTTATATTCCAAAAGAAAACAAGTTTATGTTGTTTCTTTATTATTATTAAATATATTTGTATACACCAGTCTCTGCTGCTAAAAGAAAAATACATTTAAAAAGACTTGTGTGTGCTTACAGCTTCAGTATGTTTAGTTATAAGCAATGTTTTAAATGATATATAATGCCTATACATTTTAAATATTGGGGTAGTTAAAGTAAGCTTTACAAAAAAAAAATGAAACTAAAATATTAATATTGAGTGAAAATTATATGAATAATTATTTTTTCAGTCGAAACTCAAAATTCAGTTTCATGGTGTTTTTAATTTTGTCAAATCATAATTTATTTATGTAAAAATAAATGTTTTTTGTATAATTATAAATTGATTATTTTTATGTTAATCTGTACTTATTATTATGTATATCTGAGTCACTAGAAGCCATAATCAGATATAAAAATGGCTGAATGGGTGCGGGTGCTCAGCTGCTATGACTCACCGATGAAGGAGGGCTGGAACAGAGTCTCCGGGCAGCGGAAACGCTCGTTGCCGATGGTGATGACCTGACCGTCGGGCAGCTCGTAGCTCTTCTCCAGAGAGGACGAGGAGGCGGCGGTGGCCATCTCGTTTTCAAAGTCCAGAGCCACGTAGCACAGCTTCTCCTTGATGTCTCTCACGATCTCACGCTCAGCTGCAAATGGACATTTATCAACGTTTAGTCTACTATTCTCACATGACAACACTGTGATTTATGCATAATCTACAAACAGAAATTACACGTTTCTCTTAACAAATGAAATGTGTAATTCATGGGCAAGAACATCTATCTTTTAGCTAGATTTGTCTGTGATTTGTAAACACATTTTAAAAGTTGGCCTGTGTTAAATACACTTTAGATTATTTGTCTTTTCCTACTTGGAATTTCGCCTTGATGTGTTTAGTTTTTTGGCCATTTATTTGATTTTATCCTGCATATTCTTCTCAAAGGTTTTCCAATATTTGCCATTTTCTAGTTAGTTTTCCTTACCAGTGGTGACGAAAGAGTATCCACGCTCAGTCAGGATCTTCATCAGGTAGTCAGTCAGGTCGCGACCGGCCAGATCCAGACGCATGATGGCGTGGGGCAGAGCGTAACCCTCATAGATGGGCACGTTGTGGGTCACACCATCACCGGAGTCCAGCACGATACCTGTACACAAACAAGCACTATGTCAGAAAACAAATCCAAATGTGTTTTCATTGTCACAGAGTTAAAGGTCCCCTATTACACTGTTTTTTATCAATATATTATAGGTCTCAGATATATAAAAAACAGGTGGTGGGGGGGGGTTACCTAGGTTGATTATTGGCTAATGGTTACAAGCCAAAAAATCGTTATGACATCATAAAGTGGCCAAAATCTGATCAGCTCATTTTCAGTCAGGTATGAATGGATCAGGACAAAAAGTGAGTGAATATTTTTTCCTGAAACTTTTAGAATCTCTTTACACAGAGGGGACACATGCTTATGTATAAAAGACGTGAAAAAGTGGATTTTGCATATTAGGTGACCTTTGAAGCCTTAGGCAGAGACTCACCGGTGGTACGACCGGAGGCGTACAGGGACAGCACGGCCTGGATGGCCACATACATGGCGGGAACGTTGAAGGTCTCAAACATGATCTGGGTCATCTTCTCTCTGTTGGCTTTGGGGTTGAGGGGGGCCTCAGTCAGCAGGGTGGGGTGCTCCTCAGGGGCCACACGCAGCTCATTGTAGAAGGTGTGGTGCCAGATCTGAGAAACAGGAACAGGGTCCATGTCAGTGACAGAATTTAACCATATGTTTGATCAAATTCACAAAAAGGACCCCAGAATATAAGAACTATTAAATGGTCATGGTTGGAAGCCAGCTTAGTTGTTAAACAAGGGCAGGCATACGTCATGCAGTGTTCCTTGTGTTAAAAGTACATTTGCAAAACAGTTTTATGGAATAACTTGTCCATGGACATTAAACAAAGTCAACCATTGGCAATTTTAAAGACTACTGTTTAGATGGCTTTGTGGGAAGAGTTGATGGTTCACTTTTAAGGAAGGAGTTTAATCCATTGGTGTGGAGTTTCAAAGAGGACAAGCTGTTTTGTCGTAATTCGTCTTTTGCCATCTTTTTGCATGTAAAGTGTAGAGTTTTTTTCTGTCGGGACCACTTTGGAAGTGAGTGTTTTTAGTTTTGTCTTTTGGCGCTACCTTCTGGAAATGTTGTCAAATCAAAACCAAGAATTTACTTTAGAATTAGTCAGAGAATAAACAGTGAGATATTTCTGTTTGTCTTCACCTTCTCCATGTCGTCCCAGTTGGTGATGATGCCGTGCTCGATGGGGTACTTCAGAGTCAGGATACCCCTCTTGCTCTGGGCCTCGTCTCCTACATAGCTGTCCTTCTGACCCATACCCACCATCACACCCTGAGAACAAAGCAAACACAGCTCAGAACCTCAGCAACAACACAGACACACACAGAGTGCATGTGATAAAGCTACAAAACCGTAATCCTCCAGAAACGTCTGTGTCCTTGTTCAGTATTCCTACCTGGTGACGGGGGCGTCCAACAATGGAGGGGAAGACGGCGCGGGGAGCGTCATCACCGGCGAACCCAGCCTTCACCAGGCCGGAGCCGTTGTCGCACACGAGGGCGGTGGTTTCTTCGTCGTCACACATGTTTGGTCTTGTCTAAGCTGGCCTTCTGTACAACACAGAAAAACAGGCAAAACATGAGTTTAGATATTGTGTCTTTTTACACAAAGCTTTTTAACTCAAGACACTAAACATTATCACTCTCTTTGATAAAGCTTCAGTTAAATCAATCTTTG